ATACATACATACATTCTTACAGGTCAAGATAAAAAACGTGTTGATAAAGAGATATTGATATGAATTCCAGTTCATTTTTGAAATTTTTAAATGAATAAAATGATAGAGGTTTGCAGTTGTGCGCGCATCACGGAAAAACTACTCGATAGATTTCAATAAGGTTTTCTACATTTTATTTCTTAGAAACTTGACTCTTATCTAAAAAAAATAATTACGATATCTTCATTTAATATAAATTTATTAAAGTTTTAAGAAACAATGATTTTTATGCGGGGTTTTTACACGATGTTGTACGTTGCTTGCTCTCGCATTACTAAATACTAACCCAGATAATTTATATATATTTAAGATGCAAACGGAGCAACGAATAACGGTTTTTGATGTTTTTTCCTTCGCACATACGAAAAATTTGTTAATATATCAAGTAACGCGCACGAAGTCGCGAGTTTATTATATGTATATTTAGAGAAAATTATATAATATAGAGATTTTAATAATAACTGTAATTAGTATATACGTATAAGTTTAGATGTACGTATAAAAGAAGAATATTTGCAACTTATGTACGTAGAATGTTATTACGGTACAGGAGTGAATTGAGTGGGGTTATAGGTATACATAATATATATATATATATATATATATATATATATATATATATATATATATATATATATATATATAATATTTCGTTATATATATATATATATAAATATATATATAACGAAAGAAGAAAGTTATTTTATACCTTAATCTGCAGTTTATAGTCGCTTGTACGCAACGCGTGCTATTTCTATTGCTATTTCTAATCTTGGTAGACTTATTAATAAACTTAGAATCGAATGCAAGCTCATTAAATGAATAAAAATATGTCTCTTTCTTTTTAAAGTACGTTTGAACAAACATTCATAAATTACTGGTTATCCAGCACGAGTTGCGAGAACTCCCGACGCACCATTTGAGGAGTGACTAAGTTACTTCATGACTCACAGGCTACAGGAATAATACTGCCGCCATAAATGTCTGCTAAATGACATATTATGGTCTTTTTTATTATTTACGGTGACAAACGAGCACACAGTCCACCTGAGTTACTAAGTTACTAACCATACGAATCATATCAGCATTATTTTTTATTTATTTATTTGGATTGCCAGCATAAGAAACGGCAATGAATGTTTTGTTACAGTACAGTATTATAATTATAGGCAATCACAGCACGCGTTGTGTTACAAAAAGTGAAACAAAATTTACAAAAATATGTTTATTTGCTAGTTTTTACGATAGTATTCTGTGAGAGAGTGGCCCTTCCCCGTTCTACCGCATCCTTCCGTTTGTACTGCAGCCATAATACACCTGTAGTTTAGCTATATCACAAAACATATAAACATTATTTTCAACAACAAAAGGCAAAAAATTTAAATTTTCATATAACTCTATTCGTTTTAGTCTAGACGTGAAACACCTTATTCCATGGTGACCATGGGTGCAGTGGGTGAAGTAAAAAGCAGAAACGTTTGCGATAATATTCGTAAAAATTACTTTTATTTAATGTATGGTTAGTTAGCGTTTAGAATACCAGAATAAAATCTCAGCTTAACATTGCTGTGTTTCGTATGCTGAGTGTAGAGAACCGGATACCCTGTTTACTGGAAACGAGACATACCATCTTAGTCCTCACGGATGACAACGCATCGGCATTTTGATTCGCAAACGAGGATAGATGTAGATGTCTATGGGCCACAGCAACCAGTTACTATCAGGTGGAATGTGTGCTCGTTTGTCACCCTATCCTATAAAAAAGACGAGAAAAGAACTCTTGCCACCAGTGACCATGACGAGTCGCGGTTACAGTTAAAGTAAACGTTTACAAAAAATTCTAGGTTTTGTTGCTCACAATCAACCCGTAATTGCGATAAGTTGGTTGATTCTGGCTAAGAGTTTCCAAAAAGGCATATTCTATGTCCAATAACTGAACTTTACATATATCAAGTGACTAAATATAGTACTTGTATAGGAAGCTCGCGTTTGCTGTTATAAAATTTAAATTTATAAAATGTCATACACAGAAAAGGTTAAAACATTTAAAAACCGTTATGGTTACCGTTACAGCCTATTATAGTCCACAACTCAACATAAGTCTTTTCTATTATAGGATATGGGTGACAAACGAGCACACAGTCCACCTGATGTTAAGTGGTTGCTGTGGCCCATAGACAACGACATCTATCCTCGATTATGAATCAAAATGTAGATGCGTCGTCACTCGTGAGGACTAATATGGAATGCCTCGTGTCCAGTAAAATGGGTCTCCGGTACGACACTCGCCATATGAAACACAGCAACGTTAAGCTGCTAGGTATTTTACGCTGGTATTCTGTGAGAGCGTGGTCCTTCGCCGGTCAAGTCGATCCATTCGTGCTACAACTATTACTACTAACTATAGGGAGGATAATTGCAATATTTGCCGTGCTTTGCAAGCGGGTTTGCAACCGTAGTTTTTTATTTTTATTCGTTACTAACGATCCGCCCCGGCTTCGCACGGGTGATTTATACGAGTAGATCTTAACAACAGCGCCCTCTACTGGATCTAATCTAAACAAATAAATAAAATTGAAGTGTCTGTTTGTAATGTCAAAATAACAGCTTTTTAATAGATGCATATGAAAGTATAAACGGTGCTTATAACAAAAACACAATTTTTAAAATTTTTGTCTGTCTGTATGTCTGTTTGTTCCGGCTAATCTCCGAAACGGCTGGACCGATTTTGACGGGATTTTCACTGGTAGATAGCTAATATTATAAGGAGTAGCTTAAGCTACTTTTATTTTAGAAAAGGATTTAGAGTTCCACGCAAAAAATTAAAACCAAATTACACGCGGGCGAAGTCGCGGGGTACAGTTATCTATACAAATAAATAAAATTGAAGTGTCAGTTTGTAATGTCAAAATTACAGCTAAATGCATATGAAAGTATTTTTTTTTTATAGGATAAGGGTGACAAACGAGCACACAGTCCACCTGATGGTAAGTGGTTGCTGCGGCCCATAGACATCTACATCTCTCCTCGTTTGCGAATCAAAATGCAGATGCGTTGCCACCCGTGAGGACTAAGATGGAATGCCTCATTTCCAGTAAAAAGGGCCTCCGGCCACCTGCACTCACAAAGCGAAACGCAGAGGTAAACCTCTACTTCACGCTGGTATTCTGTGAGGTCGTGGTACCACCCCGGTTCGAGCCGGCCCATCCGTGCGACAGCAAAAGCTGCCGCGTGGCTCTACCACTGTTAATAAAAATATATGGTACTAATAACAAAAATACAATTTTTAAAGGTTTTGTCTGTCTGTCTGTTTGTTCCGGCTAATCTCCGAAACGGCTGGACCGATTTTGACGGGGTTTTCACTGGCAGATAGCTGATGTCACAAGGAGTAACTTAGGCTACATTTATTTTAGAAAAAGAATTAGGGTTCCGCGCAATATAATTAAAACCCCAAATAACACGCGGGCGAAGTCGCGGGGAACAGCTAGTTGTAAATATAAATTATCCAAGGTGGGCCCCTGGACATAAGCAAACACACACAAAACATTTCATCAGAATCGGTCGAGCCAGTTTCGAGTTTTAGCGAGACTAACGGACAGCAATCGATTTTTCTAGTATATAGAGATTAGGAAGACGCTGTTTCTCATCTCCTGGTTTGTTTCTCTCTGTACCTCTTATAACACCCACGGGATGATATGGGATAGTGGATATTCGTACACCGCCACGGTAATTGTGAATTTAAAAGCATTCAAACGCATGTACAGAAAACACGATTACATAATTCATTTATACTTCAAGGTCAATTATACCTGTTGTATTCAAAACCGGAAGTGCGAGATATAGACGCAAATACTATCGTAGAACAGGGACAGAAAGATCCGGCGCCCGTTTGAAAGCCATGCTGCAGTCACGACTATTCAAGGCTTCACCGCTTACTCTGTTTAATCACGTGTTTGCCCACTGGGGCTTTTAGAGTAATACGTATTAAAAGCACGATTGCATTAAATCATTACAACGTAATTGGAATACTTTTAGTAGGGCGCGGTTTCATTTGACGTATCAAACTATACGGCGGAGTTTTTTTCACATTCATATCACCTCCGAACCTTTTGGAGTTTCATTCCCTTACTATTATAATAATAATTAAAAAAAGGTTTGAAAATTTTCGATGTCCACATAACAATACGATAACAAAATTTGAAGTTATCAGAACATCCTGATTTATTTCTGTTTCCGTCTGGCGCCAGTTGAATGACGGGTGCTATCGCTTCATTAAGATTTGACGCGGTCGAGATTTGTAGCATCCGTTGATAAACATTGCTTGACGCCTACTATTAATTATGTTTAACCTAAAATGGTCTTTGTTAGCGTCACATTACGTAAACAATAAGCGTAATTCACGTCTCTAAGATAATGCACTGTGAAATATGTCGGAGAAATTTTTACTTTTTTTTTATAAAACTGAAGTGGCAAATAAACTTACAGCCTACCTGATATATGTATGTAGCTACTGCAGCCTAGAAACATCTGTACCGACTCCAAGCAAAGAACTTTACATATCTAGTTGTCCTAACTTAACCTATGAGGAACAAGATGGAATGCTTCACAGCCTATATTTTTTACCTAAAAACAACACCATGAAGTTATAACGATGCGGGCGCACACTGACGCCTAAAAGCGACAACTTCACTGGGTAATTGTCTCTCAGGTTTTATTGTTTTGTTACGCTAAAGAAGTATAACTTCCTACGTGTGTACATAAGTACACACACACACACACTTTTTTCCTACACATAATTGTTCCGATTCTGAACGATGTCCCAGATTAATTTATTTATACATATGTGCATAACGCCTCAAAGATGCAGAAGAAAATAATAGTGTTTACACAGTTAAACACGGAGTTTTGAAAATAGAAAACTTTTTAATAAATTTCATGTTTCGATGTTTGCTTTGTTCTAGGTGCGTCGTTGGCAAGTGTGGGACGAAAAAGTGAGCAAGGAGGAAGTTGAAAGGCCCAAATTTCATGCGCCCGGTAAGAAGCAAGTGCAGTTCCTAAAAGGCGAGGATGGTGAACCTTGGGTGAGTTGGTCTATTTATTTTTCCTGTTATCGACGATTGTACCATTATTTGTGATGATTATATAGGAGAGTCCTTTATTGTCTTGACACTAATGGATAATTCGAATGAAGTCATGCTCGAAAATTTTCACTAGTCGACAGATACCACCTTTGAGTAAGCCACGGTGTGGGCCGCGGTTTATGGCATTTCTTGGAGAAGGCCCATGTTCAGCAGTGGACTAATGATTTGCTATAATGATGATGATGATGATGATGTACATGCATTAGAGTGCTAAGATTCGCCGGCCTAAAACCCTCTCAGTAATAAAAAGAGAATATTTATGGCTATCGATGGGTAGTATAAATGCTGTATACTGCTTTTAACAACCTACCGCGATATGAAGCTGAAAAGTGCAAACACATACTAATATTCTTGCACAAGAGTTAAAAATCTAGACTTTAATAGATGCTAGAATATTCATTAATGTTCACGCACTACATACACGTTAGGTGCGATACAGGAAAGTGCTGGTCCGTTGTCAGACCATAAACAATGATATAACACAGGAAATTGGGCTAATGGGCTGACCGCAGAATCACGTTACATATGTAATTGGCAAGAAGTCATTTATTCTAGAACTGACTCGCATTTAACGGGTAACATTACGTGTTATGTGGCACAGTGGTTAAGTAGATTACAAGACATTTCCTAAAATGCAACGGTAGACACAACAAAGTCATTGTTTTTAAGGTAACATTACGTATTATGTAGCTTAGTGGATTAGTAGATTACCTACAATAATTTTTCTAAAATGTATTGCATTTTGCAGACAAAACAAAGTCGTTTTATAAACATTAAGTTAAATTTGTATCTATAGCAATTGACTAGGTTAATAAGGTCCTAGAGTATATTACACAGATATCTGAATTGAGTTATTAGTTAAGTTTTATAAGAAAAGTTTTAGAAAATACAATTTTTACTGGAAACAAGGCATTTATCTTATTCCTAAGGAGTGATAACACATCTGCATTTTGGTTCTTAATCGAAAATAATTGTAGACGTGTATGCGCCACACCATCCACTTACCATCAGGTGGACTGTGTGCTCGTCTGCTACCCTAATTCTATTATAAAAAAAGAATAATCTTTTATTAATCCATGGTATATTAAGAACTGGTCTGACAGATAAAGCCTCAAAGTTAACCCATCCATATGTCAGACTACAGATGATAAAGAGCTTCACCTCCGATATTTTTTGACAGTTTAATTTTTTTATAGGATAGGGTGACAAACGAGCACACAGTCCACCTGATGGTAAGTGGTTGCTGTGGCCCATAGACATCTACATCTATCCTCGTTTGCGAATCAAAATGCAGATGTGTTGTCACCCGTGAGGACTAAGATGGAATGTTTCTTTTCCAGTAAAAAGGGTCTCCGGTTCTCTACACTCACCATACGACACACAGCAGTGTTAAGCTGCTATTTAACGCTGGTATTCTGTGAAAGCGTGGTCCTTCCCCGGTCGAGCCGACCCATTAGTGCTACAACTATACTACCACGTATTAATTCAAATGAAATAAAAATATTTCATTTGAATGAAATAAAAATATTTCATTTTTTTAAGAACTGATCGTACCGTGAAATATCTTGGCTTACAAAATAACTCCACCCTGAGAAACTCAAGTGGCACTTCTATGTCTGAAAGTTATATGTACTTTGCGACATCTCCACCGTCTGAAATAGTGTTTCTTCCTTCCTCTCGTCAAGTATCAAAGCGACGATTGTGCAGACCTTAATTTTTCCTCTAATTGGCTATGGTGGGTTTTTTTTACTTGAATGCAGAGCTTCCTAATATGATGATGATGATCTTCCTAATAAAGGTCTAGATGTTTTCCTTGTGCTATTTATCTATACAAACTTTCTACACAATATGAGAAAATCAAAATCATAGACTTAACGTTTTTTTATTAACGACTAAACCGTAATTTCTTAGGTTTATCTTTGGAAGACTTACATTAATTTATTAATTGTATCATTACAGCCTATTAAAATCCACAGCTGAAGATATGCCTTCCCCATAGATTGACTGTTAGGAGGCATGTTGTCATTGTCGCCACGCGGGTTGTCAATAACAGTATTTTATTCTACTCGTATCTATCTATCTACATCACAATATTTTAATCTTCGAAAGTGCGATCATGTGTCTACTTATCGCTCCCTACTTAGTGGCTTTTCATTCGTAAGCGCCGTAGTTAGCAAGCACTCCCAATTCTTTATTCTTTTTTGTATAGGATAAGGGTGACTAGCGAGCACACAGTCCATCTGATGGTAAGTTGTTGCTGTGTCCCATAGACATCTATATCTATTGTGGTGTACGCATCAAAATGCAGATGCGTTGTCACTCGTGAAGACTAAGATGGAATGCCTCGTTTCCAGTAAAAAGGGTCTCCGGTTCTCTACATTCACCATACGACACACAGACGCTGGTATTCTGTGAGAGCGTGATTCATCCCCTTTCAAGCCGATCCATTCGTGCTACAACTATACAATTAAAATAGCTGCAGCATGGCTCTACCATGCTCAAGTAATTCCTCATCTCACTTCTTATTTAACTATCTCTTTTAGTAATTTGCTGCAACCATTCGTTCTCCGTTCTACAAATAACCTTCTGCTACAGTTCTCATCTCATAGCACTGACATTTTCCAATCATCCTTATTAGTCCGGTTTGTTCTTCTTTAGATCGCTCTTCCTTACGAAATCAGGAAGGCAGAGTCCAAATCCAAAGTTCGAGGAAATAAATAAAACGGCGCAATCATCTCAGCGTCTATAGTTTACTCGTCTTTATTTACGTTTTTCATATTATTTTATTCTTATATATATGTATGTAACCAAAAAAACCTTTTCATGCCTAATTAATGTGTAGCAAATTCCATCATATAGAATTACTATTTATGTCGAGAAAATGAACCTTTTCCTTCATTCATTCATTTAATTTAATTCGTTCATTTATTTATTCATTCACTCATCCATTCAAGTATACTGTAGTTACATAAGGTTTACGAATATAAGAATGTTTAATTTACATGTATGTATTGAATTGCAGTTGCTTAAATTATAGATGTGTAGCTTGGCGCCTGTTCCGATCTGAACCATTTTATCGCCAACAACAATCCCGACCGTAGCTTGTACCGAACTGGGCCCACTTTAACAATTATGTTTTTGGTGAAATATTAATTTATTCGTGTGCAAATAAATGTGCGTCTGTCAGAAATTAAGCATTACCTACATTCCAAATATGACAAAGCAAACATGGTACGTTGTTTTTCCACCTGGTTTAACAGACACGGCTGAAGGTCTCTGCGCGTTAGTTGTTTTATTGGGTCAATGGTGCGTCCATGATATCTCGTTGCATTTATTTGCCTTACATAAAGACATGTTAATTTATTTGGCGTAATAAAGCGACCTTGTGTAAAAGTAAAGTTACTGAGAGATACTTCAGTGACCGTGTAGTGGCGGTGTAAGAATATACACTACCCCATATCATCCCATGGGTGTCGTAAGAGGCGACAGAGGGAAACTGATACAGGAGATAAGCGGCAGTATCTCTCTGATAACAGCCAATTAAAAATAAAAATAAAACTTTGTTTGCCAACCCGTCTGCCTGCTTTGTTAGGCTGTAATGATATAATAGTAATCTCTAATGCTCCAGTGCGTGTTGGCGGACTGAACATGTCTTCGAAATATTTTTATTCCTAACGAGTTTTCCTTCACCGCCGAGCACGTTGTGAATCAGCATTTAGAATGCAATTAACAAAGGAAGCTATGTGATCTTTTTGGACATCTCCATAACTCTTACGATATCAGCGGGACGAAATGGAGTGATGGATTTTCTTGCGTTATCACCATGCGGTGACACATACCTATTATAGACCCGTTTTTACGCGATTCTCTCAAAAAATCGGAGGTTTTAAATGACGAACTGTTTTATAAATATGCTAGTTGATAGGACTGTTTTCCTACCTAGGAGTCTGAGTAGGATGTCCTGAGTGGGAGTAGCAGTGCCCTCTTATTTATTTCTACCGCCAAACATAGCGGTGCTGCGTTTCGGTCTTAACAAAATTTTAATTAATTACTTTAAGAAAATATAGGTATATTTTATTTTATTTCATTTCAGTTTATCGTTTTTTTTTCGGAATAATAATCCGTCACATTTTGTAAGACATTGAGTTATATGTACTACGTACTAGAGAAGCCATTCCGAACATTGACTATGTTCAACTGAACTGTAGTGCAGTCTATACAAACTAAATATTGCGTAAATTGAAGATTTGTGAATTCTATAAAATAATTATTATTAAATTTTATTTAGAAATATGTTTGTTTAGATTAAATTCTTATATTTATTTTATATTAATATCTTATTTTTTATTAAATTAAAGTCTTCGCGCATGCGCGAAGACATAGAGTAGGACACAATTTTTGTTTGGAATGGCTTCTCTAGTACGTAGTACATATAACTCATTGTTGTAAGACAAGAAAATTTCATATACCTGTTTGATTGTGGAGTAAGGCAAGAAGCGACAGTCGCTTAAACTCTACTATTTATTTTAAGCAGCTCAAGGTGCAGTTCTGCAACATACCAGTCGATTGTCACGAAGATTCTTTAATTACTTATATTAATTTTAATGTTTATATTTGCCATATACGAGATGGTATATAACCATCTACCGGAGCCCACGAGGTTTTGTAGCCTTCATTTAGTTGCCTTTTCTGCCGACTTCCAAAAAGGAGACGGTACTCAATTCGATTGTATGTTTTTTTTATGTGTTAAGCTCATAACTTTTTACTGGGTGAACCGATTTCGGTGATTCTTTTTTTATTTGAAAGCTGAAACTTCTCGTGTGGACAGTAGTTTTTGAGTTATTCTTAATAACTTTTATTGAAGTCGGCTGTACAAAATTTTTAATTTTTAATTATTTCACTTCAACAGGACGAAATTTGAAAGTAATATACGCGATAAA